CATTCCCCGCAAGAGCGTGCCATTCCTCCCTACCTCATTCGCACCGCGGAGTTTCAATAGATTTTCGCCACCATGCTCTCGCGCACAGATGTTGAGCAACTTAATATTATCGCGGTTCGGCAAGGAGTGAAGGAAGTCATGCACGAAGCCGCCGCTGTCGCCCGTGACAAACTCCAGGGGCCCGCGTATCTGCACAATGCTCATCCTGAAGCGCCGATCACTCGCATGTATCTGTTTCGCTCCATGGCTCGGGCTTTCTGGAAGAACAATGTGCGCACCGCCTCTCGCCTCGTCGCCACCGCCCTTCTTGCTGCTTCTCACCTCGTCGTCGGTGGTGGCCAGGCCTGTCTCCTCGATCCTCCATCTTCCCACGCGCAGCGCGATGCAGGGAACGATGAGCGGCGCCTGCAGCGCGCGCTGCAAGCTAGCATGCGCGTCTCACAATATGATGAGTTCGGTCGGCACAAGGATGAGGCTTGCCAGCGTAAGGTTGAGCGCAAAGCTGCCCGCAGGGCCCGCCTGTGGACGCCATGGTCTCGCCAACTCCGTTTAAAGGGTGCGCGTGTGCACGTGCATGACGACAGTGGCGAGAGAGTTGATATTGTTATGAATGGTCAGGACGTTTTTACTGCAGTGCAAGCTCACTGGCAACCCATATTTGCGGCTCGCGAGTCGCGTGGCGCGGACGTCCTCGCCTTGCTGCACTCTGTCTCTCCGCGCCCCCCCACCTTTCGCGCTCCCGCGCCCAGTGTGGAAGCACTGGCATCGGCGCTGCAGCGCGCGAAGCCAAGTGCTCCTGGTCCTGATCGTATTCCCTACTCTGCCTGCCTCTCCAACTCCATTGCCGCGTCTATCTTGCATCGCCGTCTCGTGCATATCTATTCTGGTGGCAGCTTACCATATGAAGCTAATCGCCCGCTGTTTGCTTCTCTCCCAAGAAAGGAGGACGAGCTGGATGCGGTTCGAACTACTCGACGGAGCCGGGTTCTTCGCCCGTTGAGTCTCAAAAACAGCGATGCGAAAGCGATTCGTTCAGCGGCCAATTTTACTTTAAAGCCACTTGTAGAGCAGCACGTCCATCAGAGTCAGCACGGGTATATCACTGGCCGTAGCTTCGTTGGCAACAGACCCTTGCCTCACGCGGAGGCTAGGCGTGCTGGCTGGCTTGAGGACGGATCACGCAAACCCCCGCTTCTCCTCTCTTTCGATTTTATAGCCGCGCTTCCCAGCTTGAACAGCCGTTGGCTGGAGCTCGCATTAGTCCATTATGGCGTGCCGATCGGCATCCTCTGGGCCATGGGAGCGCTCTACAACGCTTCGATCGCCTTCGCTCGGCGCGGGGATATGCCACTCACGTCAATGTGCGAGCTCGCCAGCGGTGCGTTGCAAAGGTGCCCCCTGTCTGGCAGTCTCTGGGCACTGGGCGTGGATCCGCTGCTTCGCCATCTGCAGCGGCCTTTTCCTTCGCGTGAGTGATCATGGTGCGGTGCAAGCGTGCGCAGACGACATAGGCTTGATTTTATTGTGCGCATCGCAGCTCCTCATGATTGCGGAGACTTTCAGCTTCGCTGAAAAGCTCGCTGGCCCTGCGCTTCAGCCTGCCAAATGTGCGGCTGTACCGTTGTGGGCCCCGCTCTCGCCAGAGGTGCAGAGTCAAACCCGCCGTGGTCTCGCGGAGGCTTGTGACGGGTGGGGCGCGCTTCAGGTTTCGGACGCGGTGAAAGACCTCGGGGTTTGGCTCGGCCCAGGAGCCGCCGCTGACTTTCAGTGGAAAGCTCCGTCTGAGAAATGGCGGGAACGGATTCATCTCGCCAGCCTCACTCGTGCCCCCCCTTCTGCTCTTGCGCTTTTGCGCGCTTCTGCTACCCTTCCCACGTTGAGTTACTCCTGCCTTAACAAGATACACTCGCCGTTCGGGCTGGTGGATTTACCTAGCGAGGCAATTTCGCCAACATCAGACGGTAATGCGCGTCCGAAAGGGCTGCGCGGATCCGCAAGAAAAAGGGGGAGGACCAGGAGGACGAGGAGGGGCGACATAATACGGATGAGGAGGAAAGGGAAGCCGACGGCGACGATACGGATAACCCATGGGCCCATGAATGAGGAGGGTGGGCAGCAGTGTGATCGCGAGGAGTAGCAGGGAAGACGAACCACGGTGAGGGGGGAGGGTGCGTATGATGCCGAAGTAGGTCTAGGCGATATCTTGACGTTGCGTCTTTGTTCATGGATGGGGCGTTCTCGGGTGCCAGGCATGCAACCAACAAAAAATCGGTTGGTCGCACATTGGGCGCCTACAACAACATGCCACTAACAATCACCAAGCAAACGGCATGCAACTAGCACACTAGCATACACCATGCAACTAGCAAACGGCATGCAACTAGCAAACAACATCCAACACGCAACTAGCAAACAACAAGCAAGCGACATGCAATTAGCAAACAACAAGCAAACCCACAACATGCAACACAAAAGGAAACGGCATGCAACTAACAAACAACAGCAACAACTACCACGCTACCAAACACACGACACGCAACGTCAACACCATTCGCACTCTAGGAACGTATCCGTGATGTTGAAGAGGTGGATGTTGGCAGATTTTCGGAGGGGCGGCCTTCGCGCTTCTGGCGCGCGTTGCCATTTAGTTTTGACGCGCTTGCGTTGGGGCCCCATATGCAGTGTTCAGTCCGTGATTTTCCTGGTTGATGTTTGGTTTGATTTAGGTTCTTATGGCCTCGTTGTTTGTAGAAGAGGGGTGAGTCAGCACAAACCAATTACACCAGGTGAAATCGGCAACCCATGGGCTCGTGGCTCTCTGGAGGACCCCATGCGCGTGGAGGGTCAACTGACCCCTTTCTCAGAATGCAAAGCCAGCACGATGCCCCCCTGAACCATCCAGTTTACCAGGCGGCCCTGGCATTCGCAGTTGCGTCGCCGACGCAACTGCGAATGGGGTCCCTTGTTTCCGTGGCCATTTTGGCCCAGGGGAGTTTGCTTCCGCCAGGCGTGTTCTCGCGCCGCGTCTCCACGGCGAACCTGAGCACCAACATGGCCCTCTCGAAGTTCGCCACGCCCTCCAAAGATAAGCAGGCGTCGACCAAGAAACGCTCGGCAACATCCGGCAGCCCGTCAGCTAGCAGCCCTGGCGGCGCAAAAGTTACCTGGGCCATGGTTGACAAAGCGAAAACGAAATTCGACGAGCAGTGCGCTCAAGATTCCTCCACACCGAAGCTGCCGCAAGTATTTGCCACCGTGTGCATGGAGCTGCTGGCATCGCCAGCAAAGTTGTTGCCGACACTTCGCGCCGTGCAGGGTGATGATATGTGCCGTGGGCCCACTCTCAAGAAGTCCAAGTCGAGCAAGGCCGTCGACGACATCGACGAGCTGTGGGCCGACATGGAGAAACTCAGCTAGTTGCCAAAGTACTGGGCGTGGGAAGTGGTCCATGCGAAAGATCCGAGCTATTCCAGCAGCACCGCAATCAAGATTATCGATAAGAAACACAGGGACAACTTCAGGAGGCTCCACGAATGTCTTACTGTATTGAGGTCTACATACAAAATCTTCGAGGAGATGAAAAACAAGAAGCTCACCGCCCGCGTCGTTGAAGTCCTGTACGTTGCGTTTGGTTCTCGCTGGCCGTCGTTTCGAGTTATATTTCCTAACCCTGCTGATTTGACTTTGAAGTTTCTCGGGGTGTACAGGTGCGGCGAGCCAAACGAGAACGGCAAGATTTCGGACTTGATTCATATTTCTGGTGTTCGTGCGACGGTGCCGAAGAACATGACTGTCAACTCAGAATGGTATTTCACGAACAACTGGAGCGACAGGCTTGCGCAGGGGACCGACGGGGATTCTGTCTTCACTTGTTTCACCCGGCTCAGTGGCGAGGCTGACCAGCCGTGGTATCAGTTCGCCGGAAGCCCATCGAGCCAGTTGAAGCATTACGTCCAGAAGGTCAGCACTGATCTCGACGAGGAGTTTGCGAAGACCTTGTCCACCGACGTGAAGATTTCAGATACTATCAAGGAGGTACAGAAGGACTCGAGGCGCAGGCACGGGAAGGGCCCCCCTGAGTACGCCATGCCTGCTAGTCTTGAGGCTCGGCCAGCGAGCTTCACTGCGCCAGAGCAGACTGGCCATCCGTGTGAGCTGGATTGAGTCATTTTCCTCTTGCCCCAGCCCACCACCACTTCAAAGCCCAGGCTCACTGGGCGCTCTTTTGAGCAGCAGCTTTTCTTCGAATTTGAGCGGCGATAGAGCTGATGTGGTGTCTGTCACAGAGCTCTTGTGGCCTGGCTTCGAGGGCAATGCGAGAACGAAGCTCCATCGGAAACCTACCCATATGTTTTCATTTGTTGTATGCTTCGTGCCCTCGAGGCCAGTGCACGATCCGATGTCCGCTCGGGTATCAGTGTTATGGCTTGCGAAAGCGAGGGGTTGCCATCAACGTTCAGACAAGATTTCCACATTGCGTATCCCATCGAGCCATCGAAGCATCGTTGATCGAGTTCTTGCTTGCTGCTGTTGCCGACGATTGTGAAGAGCGACGGTTGCGATCGGCGCCGGCGGCGACTTCGACGACGACGACGACGTCGACGTCGACGCCGATCGCAACCGTCGCCCTTCTCCAGTCGATTGCCGTCGCCGACGTTGATCCTCCTCGTCGCCCACTTCGTCCCCCACCGTCTCGCCTTTCGTCGCTTGCACTTCAGCAGTCGAGGTCAGCGGGCAAGCTGGCAACCTCGCTCGCAGCGAGGCGGACGGCGTGCAAGGAGAGAACATAGATCCCCCATGTAAAAAGCCCCTCTCGCTGTCGGTTCGGAGGGGGTCTCGAGGGGGGCGAGCGACGGTGGGGGGAAGTTTGGGGGCGGCGGAGCTCCGCTCGGTTCTGCCCTCGCCCTTCCACCAACTCCCTCTTCCGTCGTAGCAGCGCAGGCTCTTAGCGCAGCCCGTGCGCGTCGACCTCGAGGCGACCTCGGCTCAGTCGCCTGGCAATGGAGGTCGATGACGGCGCCCTGGCTCCCCTGGGAGGCCAGGGCGCGGGCGCCGCAGCGGGCGACGGTGACATCGGCGACGGTGAGTCAGCGCCCCAGGCCGCCATTGCAGTCGGCGCGGCTGGCGATGCACACGGCGTGCAGGTGGCGCACAACGGCATCATCGAGCTCTGGATCGACCCTGGCAAGAAGCATCACTATTTGAAGAATCAGCTGACCCACGAGACCGTGAAGATACTGGCCCCACCAGCGGGCACGGATTATTGGGTCATTGGTTTGAAGGACAACTACGCCTACATCGATAGCCCAGACGAGTCGCACTGGGTGATTCTGCTCCGGAACGAAATATCCATGCCAAAAAAAACCTGCCACCTGCTACCTGCCCAAAATCCATGCCCAAGTAAAGTTTGGAGGCGTTCCGTTTTCTGCCCGCCTGAGCAGGCGGGCAGAAAACGGAACGCCGTTCCAAAATTGGTCCGTCTGGCCTCCTTGAGCCAAAATGGCTTCAGCCAAAATCGCTACGGAAGAGACGGAGGAAGTGGCACCGACTGTTTTTTTGAACACTTCGGCCTACTGACCCTTAGGCAGTCTTTTTTCGGTGGTTTTTTTTTTTTTTTTTTTTTTTTTTTTTTTTTTTTTTTTTTTTTTTTTTTTTTTTTTTTTTTTTTTTTTCTTTTTTTTTTTTTCTGACCGTCTCTAGGTGACTGAGTTCTTCAAGCACAACGCCTTCGTGTCAGACCAGGGCCAGACGTTCGTCAAGTCCACGGACAGCGACTCCCCAGAGTGGATCGAGAACTTCTTAGGCATGCACAGGGTCGACGAGTTCGCTTTCGCACACCCCGCTGGGACACAGACCACCAGGTACATGATGGTCGCTGTGTGGGAGAATGCTCAGTATGATTCGTCGGTGTGGATTTCTCTTTGGAGCGTGTTCGACATGATTTGTCTCCATGTCAACGTGAGCGGGGGCTCTTGGTTCGCGAACCGTCGGGACGCATGGGAGCGGTGCTTGTGCGCGTGGCAGCTTCGTCACCACCTTCGCCAGAGCAGCCCGTACGCGAACAAGAGAGCGGCACTGTCGAGTGAGGAGCTCGCGATGCGCATCCTGAAGTTCCCGTCGGTCAGCGTGGTCGGCATGATGAGCTTGATGATTCAGTGGGGGTCGGAGAACCAAGGTTCGCGCTTCAAGTCCGACACAGATCGCGCTTCGTCTAACGACTTGTTTGACAGCTTCGCTTACATGATCCAGAACGGCAGCATCAGGGTCAACGTCGACGGCTTCGCTTGGAGGTGCGGCCCCGACATTGCAGGCGTGCGGCCCATGGTCGTGCTCATCAAGGCTGGAAGGTTTGAACGAAAGTCTTTCAACGCCGTTGTCGAGTCTTACTTCAACGAGTACGGTACGCCAGTGAGCTGGGAAGATGCTGGCGTCTGGGATAAGCGCGAGGAGGGCGAGGACTTCAAGCCGTCTGACGTCATTCAGAAGATCCTCACTGGCAACAGGGACGCCAAGCTTGCAATGCAGCTCGTCTGGGGCCTAGGCAACCTCGTCGACGCGAAGATCGCCAAGGCCAAGGGCAAGGATGTCGAGCTGGCCCCCGACTTCAGGTACGATTTCTCGGACGATCTTGACGCTCAGCCCGACTCCAGCGTAGACGTTGCGGTATCTGGCAACCACGGCGCTGCGCAGGTGATCACGCGGTACCTCAAGGTCAGCAAACGCACCATGATCGACAGCATGAACCTCGGTTTCGTCATGGACGCTTCCACGCCAGACCACCAGAAGAAGTTCTACGGCGCTGTGTTCAAGCCGAACAACACAGTGGCCATTTGCCCACCGCAGGTGTTGCGGGCAAGCTGGGATTCCCAGGTAGATCGGCGATCCTGATCCTGGTAGTTTCAGGGGGGGGGGAGCTCCGGATATCCTTGGGTCCTCCGAGGCTCTGGCTCGAGACATTGGCACATCAAGGGGAACGCATGCCAGGAATATCCTGGTAAATTCAGGTATCGGATCCTGGTTCGTCGGGCTCCTTCTCCAGGTGGGTTCCCGCTTGGGTCTTAGGGGTCCGTTCGGTTCGATCGACAGTCTGGAAGTCGCGATTGCAGGGCAGCTGCGAGCGATCGGGATGCGACCGAGACAGACCCTCAAGTGAGCTCAGTCTACAGCGGCAGGCAGATGTACGACAGCGAGAGCACGGCATTGGCGGTGCAGACGTACGAGAATACCCACATCGAGCGGGCCAGGGAGCTTCTGGGCATCAAGTGCAACTCCTCTGAGTTGCCCCGGGTGGAAAAGGTCAAGCGCAGGTACAGGTTGGATTCCTTCATGGCTGGGAAGGCTCTTCACAACATGCGCCTCGTGAGCGTCGGCGAGGGCCTTGGGGCAGTCAAGATCACATTAGAACAGTACCACCAGATGAAGGACTGCTACGATTGGAAGTGCGATCACTTGTGCTCCGACCAGGGCCCCGACATGAAGTGCCTGAAGTGGTTCTTACAGAGCTCGGAGGGCCTGTTCAATGTTGACGACGACGATGATCTGGCACACGGCATCGACAACGATTTCAACATAGCTGACAAGAAGTGCGGTCTGTGGGCATTTCGGAGGCTTCAGAGGTTGGCGAGGAACGCAATCTATGGCCCCTTCGACGAGGGCAGGAGGTTCAAGGAGTTAAAGGACATCGCGAAGGAGGTGAAGACGTTCGTCAGCCCTCTCAAGTGCCCGATATTTTGCGAGGCGTTGCCTGCCATCCTCGAGGAGATGGGAGAGCCCGCGCGCATTATGGAGAATGGCATCGAGGAGGAGGTGTGGAATGGCATGACCGAAGTCGGCTTCGGCGAGGTGGCTGGCAGGAAGGACAACCCCGCCAGGTGGCTTGGCGACCATTATGCTTCTCGCATCGACCGCGATCAGTTCACGATGCGCGCCGTCTGCTTCTCTTACGCGGTCATGGTGCGCGAGCAGTCGAGCACGAAGAAGCTCGGAGTCAAGATGAGGGAGCTGCACAGCGAACCGAACCAGCACGGGGGCAACGACCAGGCCGTGAGCATGGAGTCGGTGGCCGCCGAGCTGAAGCGCGTGAGGATGGCCACGCGGGACCAAGTGGAGGTTGCGATCGTCTACTACAACAACAAGCAGAACAAGAACATCGACAGGGCGACATTCGCCATCCGCGAGCCGTGGGCTCAATGGCATAGCCACAACAATTGGCACCTCAGGGATCTCACGAACGTCACGGACTGGGAGGTGGACCAAATCGTCAACGGGAAGCTCCTCAAAGTTTGTGTGGAATCCATGTCTGTACCGTTCGATGGCAAGGGGATGATGGCTTACCTCGGCTTCGCTGTGGATCACAGCCATGTCAACGTGAACGAAGTGTCCGCGTCCCACCCGCTTCTGAAGATCGAGGGTGACATGGCCGAGTTGATCGGCACTTACTCCCTCGTCCTGAACGCTTGTCGCTTCAAGAGGCTCTTCAAGTTGATGAGGGGCTGGCCCAAGCACTTGGTGGCGGCCCTCGGTGACCTCGCTTCCCAGGACAGGGTCTTCGCCCTCTTCAAGCAAGACTGCGAGAACTGGAAGGCACTCGGCGACGACACGGTTGGCTTCAGGGCTCTGTCGGGGATTATGGTGTTGAGCGAGAGCCCATCATCCATTGGGCCCTCCCCCTGCGACAAACAATTTCCAGTTTTTGTTTCACGTGTGCTGTGAGTTTGGCAGCTGTCTGCAGTTATCTCCTCGGATTGCACTAACCTTCGATTCTCCGGCTCACACAACCTTCGATCCTCCAGAAGGATCGACGCCAGTTTGTTCAGGGGGGCCGTGCCGACCAGAGGTAGTAGGCCGAAGGGGGGGGAGGGGTACGTGAAGGCCCCGAATACTGGTTTCCAAAACACCCCCCCCCCTAAGGACCGTTAGGGGGGGGTGAAACAGGGCCTTAAAACACGGACAAGGGCGCAGCGTCGATATGACTTCTAAGGGCCCCTGAAATCACATCGCCCTCTGGCCGCGCAAGCGGCCTAAATCTCGAGCTCCCTGAGAATGCCCGTTAGCAAACGCGCGCCCGCCCCGAGGCTCGCTTGAAGAAGAGCTCGCCTTTCATCCTCGTTCCAGTTCGGCAGCATCTCGGCATTCTTATCGAATCGGGGTTCCAGCGGACCTCGAAGTACATGGAGTTCCTCAACGAGAATCGGACGAGGCCACTGCTGTCCCAGATCGCCGAGGATTGCTTCTGCAGGTCAGCCAAGGACATTCAGCACGCCTTGGGCCAAGACCGAGGGATCGACAGAGATTTCGCGAACTTGATGGTGAAGGATGTCGTCTCGAAAGTTCACCGCCACAAGGACATCAATTGGAAGTTCGAGCCGCTCGTCAGAAACCCCAGGATCCCCAAAGACGCGTATCATAACACTCCCGACGACGTGAAGGCGATCGGCCTCCAGAACATCATTGGCCCCAACCAGTCTCCGAAGTGGTCCAACCAGAGCGTTGCCAACGACTCCAAGCCGACTTTCGAGATGGACATGCTGGAGTTCTGCAGGGCCAACGGCGTCAACGTCTCCACCGCAGAGAAGCACTGGTACTGCGCCTTGGCGAAGCAGGGCAAGGTCGCCATCAAAATGAAGGGGTCCCCCGACTCGGACTACGGCATCGTCATGGGCGACATGTGCGGCATCGGCGTATTGACTGCCAAGCTCAAGCCTTTCAAATACAGGTCTGGGCGCGACTTCTACATGATCGACTTCGACGCTGCGGCCCCGCTCAAGATGGCTTACGTATTTGATCCATCGGAGTGGGATGCCCTGCCTTTGTCCTGGACGTCACCGCTGATGCAGTTTGTCGCGGAGGGGGGGCGCAGCTTGCCAGGTGGCATCGAGAAGTACTGCATGAGGCTCGAACCAACTGGGCCTGCTGACAGTCTGTTGCGAGTGGCTGCCAAGAACGCCTTTTGGGATCTGGGATTGTCAGTGTTGAAGACAGTCCACAAAGACCTTTGCGTCGACCCCCCTGGCGGCCTCGATCTTTTCGAGACCTTGCAGGCGCTGGTGACGCACGTCTTGAAGCCGACAGATCTGGACCTGTGCGAAATCTTGCGGAAGCGTTGCTTCGTGAAGTTCGTCGGTGAGGACGGCTTGGTGGACATCCAGGGGGCGATCGATTGCATGGCGAAGGAAGAGCAGGAGATGACGAGAGAGACGCTGTCTGAGAAGGACGCCCAGAAACATATCAGGAAGGAACACACCGCGAAGTTCAACGTCTACCGCAAGGAGGTGAAGGCGGTGCGCACTGCCGAGGCTGCCGGTCAGAACCGCACCAAGCAGGAGTTGAAGAAGTGGAAGGGGCCAATCGAGCCGCCCAAGGACGGGGTCGTGCACTCCGAGGCGAAGAAGTTCCTCCCACCTGGGGCGAGCCTGTGGAGGGGTCTCACAGGCACGGGCGCGTGGCACGTCCACATCCCCCCGCACTACAAGTCCAAGACGTGGCTCGAGGCTGGCAGCTACGACAACTCGCTCAGGTTCGTCCTGGCCTTCGCCTGGAAGAAGTACCTCAAGAGCAAAGACCTCGACGACTTGCACTGCCCGATCAAGGGCCTGCTGAAGCACTACACGGACGAGGAGGAGCAGGCGGCCACCGCAGCCGCGAGCTCGCCGAGGGGATGAGTGGGAGCACAGCTCGCTTCACTTTTTTTTCTGCCGTCGCAGCTTCTTCCCCCTTCGTTCTCGCACGAGGGTGCCTCCAGACATAGATACGCCCAGCAGGGGAGAAACCCCTTCCCTCGCCCCCGCCCCTTCTCTGGTGAAAACGGGGATGCGACGGCGCGAGGTTCGACACAATACCTTGTATTGTGGACTATGCCGCCCGCCACTGCCCAGGCATGACCACAGCTCCCAGCGCGACGTACGCTGGGAGCTAAGATTTCGATTAGGGTGGGCGGCGCCGCCAGCATCGCATCATCGATTGCTGGTACGTGTTGGTTCATGGCTGGCAGTTGGATGCGCTGGCCAGCAGCAGGACGCCTGGTGCATCGCTCGTGCAAGATGGGACTCGTCCGTAGTTCGACCGTAGGTGAACGCATAACTTAGCATATCATGATGTTGGTGCGTGTAGCGCACGGCAGAGGGCAGATGATGATATCGAATAGGGGGCGGGCCGTCGGGTCGCAACGAGGCCACGTGGGAGTTCAGAGGAGGGCGGATGGGGAATGAGGAGGGGTGGAGGGAAGGCACGGGGCACTAGATAATGAGGAATGCGGCGGCTGCGGGGGGGGAAGGTACGGGGCACTAGGAAATGGGAGGGGTGAGGAGGGATGGAGGGGAGATGCGGGGAAGGTATGGGGAATGAGGAGGGGTGGAGGGAAGGTACGGTGCATTAGAAAAATGGGAATGGAGAGGGGTGGAGGGAAGGTACGGGCCTCTTAGCCATCATCCCTCGTGACCTTGTCGTTCCCTTGTCCATCTTAGCTTGCTCTCCCGCCCCCTCCCTCCCCCTCGCCCCTGCCCCCCTCCCTTCCTGGCCAATCTCTCCCGTCCCTCATCGCTCCCGCCTGTTTCCCACCAGTCGCGCCCCCACTTCCGCTTAGCCATTTTTGCTCAAACCCCTCAGCGCTGAGAAGCGCGTTGGCGCCCGAGTCCGACAGCTGCCTCAGCTGCGCTGGGGAACGCGCGTTGGCGTAGAAATTACCTTGGTAGCGGGGCTGTGCTGGCACTCTGCCAGATCTTGTCGCGGGCCACCTTCCCCCTGGATTTGTTTGATGGCCTCGCGGCTGTTTTGAGCGGCTTTGGCGACTTGGCTGCGGTCGAGTTTCGGATCGGGCTTATGCCTGGGCCTTGGGGGCGTATGTTGCCGGTGTCGGGTTAGCTTTCGCGGCTGTGTGTTGCCCGTGTGGAGGGGGGCAAACGCTCGCTTCAAGCGGTGGCGCGGTGGTTTCAGACAGGCCTATTCGGGAATTTCACCCCCAAAACGGCGAGTGCATCTTGTTGAGGCAGTAGTTACGTCTCCCAACTGTTCTTGCCCATCCCGAGGCTGCTGCGAAGAGAGATTCAGGGCTTGCATAAGTTGTGCAGGCTTCCCCCCAGTGCCATGGAACTCTCTGACATCTTATCCTTGAATGTGTGGTGCTGAGGAGGAGGGCCCACCGCCATCTTGCCACTCTCTCTCTTGCATCCACGCGGCGGACATGCGCAACTACCTCGACTCGACGAGTTGGCAGGCGCATTTCCATGGGTTGCGAGAAGCCGCAGAAAATCACGCCCCGCTTCTCTCGCGCGCTGTCCAGCGCCGGTCGCCTGCTTGGTGGCGCGAGCAAAAGGCAATCGTGCAACGATTCGATGACAGCTGTTCGCGCAAGCCGATCTGTTTTTCCAGGTCTTTCGCAGTTTCTGCAAGCATGCTACGCACTGCTGCAAGCATGGGGGGGGGGGGGGGGGGGGGGGGGGGTCGCGCTGGCGGAGGCGGCGGGGGGCGGGGGGCCTAAAGGTGCAGCGCGCTGTTTGTGTTGCCTTGACCCAGCAGATGTATCCCGAGCAGCTTGTCGACGCGATTCGCAAACGCTTGAGTAAATGGTCTCCCGACCTTGCTCTTCCTCCTGATCTCTCCTCTCGCTGGCTCTTTCTTCGTTCGTATCTCAGCAACTGTAAGCCCGCGGTGCGCTGGTGTGTCCTGGAAACTTCTAGTGGAGCATGGGCCACCAGCTATCGAGCGCATGTCGTCCCAGGTTATCATGCTTGTTTGTTGGGGTGTCCGAACTGTGGGGACTGTGCGCAGCGTTATTTAATTTGCGATAAGTTTCTCGAGCTTGTAGCTGACCCGCAGGTGCCAGCGAGTTCTGAGGTGCTAGTTCGACTGGGCTTGGGCGGCGAAGAGAGGCATGCGGGTCAGTTTTCACTCGCTCGTGTCGTTCGCTCTCTCTCTCTCTCTCTCTCTCTCTCTCTCTCTCTCTCTCCCTCGCCTTCTACATGCATCACGCCATGAAGGGAGATACCGGCGCTTCCCCTCACGATTTTGCCTCCGTCGCAGCTGCCGCGCGATTTCGAGCAGTCGCCATTCAGCGATTGCGAGTCGGGTGAGTGACTGGGACTCTCTCTGGGGACGTTCACTCCTCCTCCGCCCCACTCAGCGATGCATTGTTCCTGCTCTGTATGTTTTGTTTTCTGTTTCATGGGCGCGGCCGGGGTCGGCCCCCCGCTGCGCCGGTCCGCCCCGCGCGCAGGTCGGCAGCTGCAGGGGCAGGGGCGCCCGCCCTCCGTCGAGCTTCGGCAGTGGGGCTCGCCGGTCGCCGGGCCCCTTTTGGCTTTGCATTTTTTGTTGGCCCCTGGCCGGCACGGTCGCGCGCCTCAAAGTGGCGGGCGCGAGTTTGCGCTCATGTTTCAAGGTGGTTCATTATCAACATATCGCCGTGCGCGTGTTGTTTCAGCTTGCTGCATTGTGCGCCGGCCGCTCTTGGCATTGGCTCCCCTGCTTCGGCATCGAGGCTTTCTGCGAGCTTGTTGTTGCTCATCCCTCCTCCGCCTCCTCCTCTTCCTCCTCCCTTCCCAGGCTTCTGCCGCCCTCCACTCGCGCTGGGCACTTGCGCGAGTCCCGCCGTCTTCGTCGGAAAGGGGCGCGCGCGCGCGAGTTCGTTTCTAATGGCGCGGTACAGCCGCGCGCGCTCAGGTCGTTGGGCCGCCGCGTGGGCGTAGAAATCGGCAGCCCAGCTAGGTTGTCTCAGCGCGTCGCATTCCAGCAGGCGCGGTGGACATCTTGCCGCGGAGCGTGCGTTCATGCGAGGACTTCGACAGTGCATTGAGGAGAGATTAGAGGGGCGTTGACCATCGGCTGCCCGCAAAAAACAAACGCCGCGAGCCAGGGGATGGAGAAGCCGAGGGCCCCAGTCAGGGTCGGGCGCTCCATCGGAGGGGCAGCGTTGGAGCCGCCCTCGCAGCCTGGGCGGCGTCGCGCGCCAGGGGCGCCGCGGCGCGGCGGGGCGAGGGCCGGCCCCGCCGCGGCGCGCGACACCTCAGCCGTTAGCGAAGGCGCTCGCGCTCCCGGAGGCGAGACAGGCGCTCCCGCAGTAGGATGTCTAGCCGGGCACGGCCGCCTTTTCCACATGGCTCCTACCTGAATGCCCCGGCGGCCCGCGAGCTCTCCGACTGGCAGCGCGGCGAGGTTCTCCGCTCCAGGCATGAGACGGCGAAGTTTTTGACCGCTCAGGGGGGGGGCGACGCGACTGCGTGGGACAAGGTCCGCGTTGCGGCGCACTTGTCTCAGAATGTGATCGGGGCCAGAGGAAGAGCCAGGAGGGGCAGGGGCAGCCGGCGAGAGGAACGTCCGCAAGCTCCGCGCCCATGCGGAGATAGTGGACGCTTTCCGGGCCGGCAATGAGGCGAGAACTGGCGACGTCGCCATGGGCCGCTTCAGTGCGATCGAAGTGGCCATCGCCCAGGGCGGCTGGTCGCAGGCATGGCACTTGACCTGGGGGCCGCGGCGGGCTACGAAATGACCAGCGCCGGCGGCCGCGCGATGGAGCTGGCAGCGACGGAGGAGAGGCGCCGGCCGAGGATGGCGCAGGCCGACCAAGGCGCGAGGGCAGGGCTAGGATGTAGGCCGGTGGCAGGAGAACGGAGGCCTGCCCCTGGGGCCGATTAAACATCCAACCGCAATCCCAATCGACTTCCTAGCCCGCCGCGAATAACAGGAGGAGGGGGAGGGCAGGTTTCGAGGAAAGTCTGCTGCGAGGAGCTCGCCGAGAAGGACGCGCCCAGGCCCCGCTCGAGGCGGAAGGGGCGCCCTGGATGTCCGAAGGAGGACGCGCGGGGCAGCCAGGCGGGCCTGCCGAGCGAACATCGCGACGCGGCAACCGAGGCGCCGAAGTTCCAGAAGGCATGGGCGCTGGGCTCGACGACCCTCGAATCCCAGACGGGCTCGGCAGTGGGCGTCAGGGGCGGGATTTGGCGAGGCCCGAATTGAAAGCAGAAGTGGGAGAGACAGAGGTTGGCTGCTCAGAGGGCCCAGGGCCCGTCGAACAAATCAAGGCGATGGAAAAAACGTCGAGATCACCTAGGGCCATGCCGCGCGCGATTGCGTGAAGGGACAAGGCCAGAAGGGCGACCCGCCCCAGAAAGGGCCAGGCAAAAGTGGCAAACCGCGGAGAACCCTGGCCAGGGCGCTCGGGCCAGGGGGAAAGGGGGGGAAGAGGCTGGACAGCCGCCTTCCCGCGCACACACGCTAGGGCTGCGATGGCCGGCGCGCGCCCTCGAGACAGCGGGGGGGGGGGGGCCAGCGCAGTGGTTTTCAGCCCGGCCCAGGTGGGGGCAATACCTTTGCGCTTGGCATTCGAGGCAAAATCTCCGGCAGGAGTTGCGGGTTAAGAGTATATCGATTTCGCGCCAGTCAGTGGGAGAGGGGCGGCCCGATCGCGCGACCTCCTTCCGCTGCAATTTCCATGTAAGTTCTTCGATTGCGCTGGGGGCGTTCGCGCGTCGGCGGGCTCCGCTGAGGAGTGGAGCCCGGCGCCGGCCGCGAAGGCCCGCAGCCGAGACCGCCGGCGCGACGCGATCGAATTGGGGGTGGAATGCTGGGCGGCCCCCATGACGCGGCAATTGGGCACCACCTGAGGCTCGCCCCCCGCCGCGCGGCCCCAGGAGGGGGGAAAGAAGAGAAGGACAGAAG